AGCTGTGCTACCATATTAGACTGAACCAAATGTTTAGAACTATTTTCACAATTGCCTCTGATCCAAGTGTCATTATCTTGATACAGTAAACCGGACTCCGACCATGGCGGGTGATTTACCTCACTGTGAACTTCAGTTAGCTTTGAAGTAAACAGGATTTCATCTGAAAACAGGTCAAATCTGAAAACAGGCCTTGAGTCATAATGCTGATTCTTCTTTTTCTGTGTGACCGTGACATTACGACTTACACACCGATTAGGTCCTGTACTGTATGTATAGAATTCATGTTACTTTAGAAGAAGTGAAATCTACGCTCTAAATTGTATTTTAGCAAAGTGTTTTTCAGACTTCTCTTTGACATTTGAGCAGTGAGAGGAAATGAGGGGAAAACCAGGAGACAACATGCAACAAAGGCTCAGACTGGGGGCTTTGTTAATCTGTGGTTATCTCCTTCACCAACAATACCCAGTGCAATGTACAAAATGATAAAATTAACACAAATATTAGAGTAAAAATTGCTACATTGCATTTTATTTTTTCAAAAGAAAAACATTCATATATAAAGTGAGTGACTCCTTAATGGCTTCAGTTCTTTATCTATATAATGAAGCTACATTTATTTAACAAAATAAAATACTGACTTCCTGTTTCTCAAGTGTTCCCAAAGTATGTCTCTGTGGTGGCATACCAGTTCAACCAGTTCTTCCCTCATACCTCTAACATCACCATCATGTAGGATGCATCATGTATGTACAGTATCATACAGTGTCCTGCGCTTATTTGGAGGTATCCGGACGATCTCAGTAGTCGAGTAGAAACCAGGAAATAAACTTGATACAACATTCAGATTCTTAGTATTTTTTATCTCCATGTCTCAGGCTGAGACAGACTGTAGTGATCCAGCTGTGTGTGTTTGTGTGTGTGCATACAGTAGATAGCAACCGTCAGTTTGTTCATGTTTGGAGTAATGTCGAGATGTGGCTGTAGCTTAGTGGGCGTTGAGTGTCTGTGGTGCTGCAGGTGTGTGTGTGTGTGCATGCGGTGAGTGTCTGTGTGTGTATCTGTGTGTGAGTGTACTGTGCAGTCACATCCACAAACATTTGATCTTGATTGTAGACCTTACATGTCCTTACATGTGCATCTGTATGTATGTGTGTGTGTGTGGGGGGGGAACAGTTTTTATAGTTTTGATGTCATCTTTCATTCTGTTCCAGACTCTCTCTCTCTCTCTCTCTCTCACACACACACACACACAGAGAATCACACAGACATGATCATCATTGGTCTCAACAGGCAGGACCTTTTACATTCTGGGTGCAATTTGCAGTCATGATACTACTACATGATACAAGGACACTACAAGTTATGATACTACTAAAAAAAGTTAAATCATCACAAAACACTAAAACAAAACAAAACAAAAAAAGAACAGTTGACAACAGGGAGGAAAGCAAATATTTCAGAAGCAGCTTGCCACTAATAAGCTATCCCATTTGTGTCTGTAAATGTAATGTGATGGTTGTGTGGAGAGTGTGAAGGGTCTAGATGGATTAATAGCACATTTACACTGAGAGGCAGTAAACAGAGGAAATCAGCCCCCAGAGATGGTAGCCTGTTCGGAGGTAACTTCTCCCAGATGACAGAAATTCAAAGCAACACCTCTTTGGCCTTGAAACAAGCTACACGCCCTGTTTTAGCTCTCCAAATACCTGTTGCATTAGCTTCACTGCAGCCACTGTAGATGATTTGTCAAGAATGTTATTTTTTTAGAGCCATTCATCTTTAGATGATCTATTTTCTTTGACTTTCTTTTTTATTTATTTATTTTAATTTGTTCTTTTTGGGTCTTGTTTAACTGAATTCCTATTAACCCTCTTGTCTGACTCATTGGGTCTTTATGAAGTAAACAGGGTCAAAGTGACACTAACTTCTTCTTTCCTCTGTCATTTGCAAACACTATCAAACTATCAGCAGACTATCAGCTTCGCTGGTATGCATGGGTTAAAACACACACACTCACATACACACAAATGTTTGTGAGTATGTCCTGAAACTGGTTTTGGCTCAAGTGAACATACTGGCATTTACAGTATATATACGTAGAAGGCTCATACTTTGTACATATCTGCATTCCACTGTAAATGTAAGAGTATTTCAATCAAATGCTGTTAATATTGATCAGCTACTTCACACATACACACAAGCGTGCATGGAAAGAGAGAGAGGAAGTTGGCTGTGTATTACAGGTCTGTCTGTCATTTTAAAATCATATTTCTGCATTTGTTAACGTCTCAGATGAAGTCACTTTTTCCGGGGTCAGTGTACACACACTGTGGAGTGTGTTGGTTCCAGGTCAGCTCACTGGCTTTATTCTCTTTAATGTTAATGACTAGAGAAACACACTCTAATGTCCATGGATGTTCATTTCAGTAAAGAGGACAGATGGCTGCAGCCTGCAAGCCACACACTGGCATCGTGTAAGTGTGTGTGTGTGTGTGTGTGTGCCCATAAGATACACATGCACATACAAACATGGTACGACATACGATGCGTGGAGTACAAACATGCAACATATACACACATGCAGAAGGAGTAGAGGAATTGGTGTATGGAGATGTGGGGCACACAGATCTCACACCGTATATACCCACTCACTCACATGCACACACACGTATCCTGTAGTCATAGCAACAAAATAAATAAAATGGTAGAATAGAAAGCTCTTACCAAAAATATTTCTTTTTTGTGATTATGATGATAATTATTAAAATGTGTGTAAAGTAGATAATGCAGTTAAGTATTTGATTGTAATACTTTCTAAGTGGTATTACCAACAGAAACCTGTGATTTGTTTAATATTTGTAGTTTGTAGGGTTTCTAATACCCTGGGGACACTTAGTGTTAATTTAGTGGTCATGTCTTTCATCAACTTTTTGTGCATGTATCGGATCAGTAAATTCACTTGGTTTCTAACTGTGTGCTCACAGATATTTGTTATATTAAGGATTTAGAAGCAAAAAGTAGTGTTGTGCAGCTCGATCCTGAAAAATTACTTCTGATCCCAAGGTTTCCTGCTCTAGGATTGAGTCCCATGTTAAAATGTTGGTATCTAAAATAAGTAGAAAAATTTGGGGTAAATGTATATTTTATTTTCAATGGGTTCCAATAATTATGCTATCCAGGACAGTCAAAATAACTACTTCACCTGCTTCCTGTCATAGTCATATGCAAACTACCGCTCTGTGAATGTGAGAGACACTGCAGAATAAGAAAAACTTTCAGTCAGGAGTCTCCCTGTAACAAAGTGGATGTCATATGTGGTTGCTTGGTGGAGGGAAACAAACAACAACCAAGACGGCATATACCGGGTTCCCCTATGTACTGTATGTAGTGTACCTGAGCTGCAGAAACATCGCTTCGCAGGGTGGTGCCATTTGTTGCTAATAAAAGTGACAAGCCCTTACAGACACACCTTATAGCCTCTCTGCCACCAGTCTGTGTTGTGTGGACCCATCACCTTTCCCTCATTTTGTTGCACAAAGTATCAGTATTGATATTGGAGACACCAGCCTGGATTTTAGTTAGCATCAGATTGGAAAGATGGTGGTGCAGTGGTCAGCGCTGCTGTCTCACAGCAAGAATGTTCCAGATTCAAGCCCTGGCTGACCTGGGGCCTTTTTGTGTGGCGTGTGCATGCTCTCCCTGTGCCTGTGTGGGTTCTCTCCAGGTATTCTGGCTTCCTCCCACAGTCCAAAGACATGCAGCTTAGGTTGACTGGTGACTCTATATGGTCACTTTGGAGGCTGGAGTTTGTGTTGCTGTTGCACTGAACTGCATGTAGTTCTGTGTTTCTGTTATATAGCCTAGCCCCACTAATATAGATGGAGGGGACAAAATAACAGAAACACCTCTCAGTATATTGCAAATGTGTTTCCAGTATGATAAGCAGAGGGTTTATCAGTGGTGTATTTAAAAGCAAACCTAAATCAGGTATGCAGTGAGGTGGGCTGCTCCATCTGGAGCCTTCATCTGTATTTGACATCCTAAATCTGCTTGCATTTCTAATGTAGAGGTTGAGACAAATGGCCAGCCTGCTGCTAATCTATCACTTTGTATTAGTGTGTGTGTGTGTGTGTGTGTGTGTGTGTGAGAGAGAGAGAGAGAGAGCTGATGATGATGATGATGAAGAAGATTTTTCCTGTTTCCCACTGTGGGTCAATTCTTTTTTCTTTCTTCTGGAATTCCTCACTCCTTCCCTTGCTTACAGCCTGTTCACAAAGGCTTGTACATTTGTTACTCCAGCACACATCCGCTGTCTGATTGCTGTTTACCAGCAAACCACTCACAGGAAGGAAGGTATATCACCTTTATGACAGCAGCAACAGCTCTTTGGTTTGACATCATAACTATGATAGAACCTTTACCAGTGTCTCACTCCAATAACCTTACAGTATGTATAACTTTAATGTACATAGCATTGTGTGTCATACAACACGCATTAGGCTTTGTTAAAGAATTAGCATCAACCACTGTAACTCAGTTAACAAGTTTCCAGGAACATATTGATCAATGATTCCCAAAGTGGTCGTCAAGGCTGCAGAGCCGCTCACAAGATGCATTTGAGGAGTGAGTCCTGCTTCACAAAGTTATTTTTAGTTTCAGACTTTACTGGATAATCTTCAGGATTCAGGATTCTAATCAAATCCCTCTGTTTTGGCTGAACTGATGGGTTGCATGGGATGGAGCACTTCAACTAGACATTGCTTTGCTTTAAGCCAAACCAGTTGGAAACCACTGCTCAGTACACTTTAGATGAACTCTGTTGTACAAAGTGTTATCTAAAGGCAAAAGTGTTCACACTCGTTCTCCCTGGCCACATCGGGAGGCAGGAATTCAAGCCACCTTATTTGTGTCTATGATGAGTGTCACTAAACAGTATGAGATTGAAACACAAATCCAAGTGTTTAATCCTCATCTCTTCTGTTTTTCTTGTTGAACAGCGGAGGTTGAGCATCCAGATGGCGGACTGCTCTCCGACTCTTTACCCCCCCATTTGCTTGGCCTGCCCTCCCACCCTCTTGGCCTACCTCCCCACCCATTGGAACCCAGCCTGGCCCACACCCTGCCACCCGGCCTCCATGCCGATCACGACCTGCTGACCTGTGGCCAGTGTCAGATGACCTTCCCACTAGGTGACATCCTCCTCTTCATTGAGCACAAGAAGAAGCAGTGCCAAACACCGCTGCTGGCCAATGGCTGCTACAACAAGTTGACAGACCGGGGTGGAGGAGGTGGAGGAGGGAGCCCCACTCTGCCGGGCCTTCATCACCAAGGCCAGCGGGTGGAGCTGAGGAAGGTGGTGGAGCCAGTGGAGATCGGCATCCAGGTGACACCAGAGGAGGAGGAGGTGGGAGGAGGTGAAAGGAGAGAGAGGACACCCACCAAAGGAATTTGCCCCAAGCAGGAGAACACACCGGCAGGTAGGCATGAGGAACACACTGTGAAGTAACAGTTCAGCATTTTGGAAAAGAAGCTTTTTTGCTTTCATTCCCAGGGTTAGATGAGAAGATGAATATCAGCCTCATATCTGTGTGTGAAGTACAGAGTCAGAAACAACCAGCCTGGCTATGTCCACAGTCCAGAAATACTCCTACCAACAACTCTGAAGTTGTCTTAACAAGTTCTGTGTTGTTTTTTTAACCCGTAAATTAACAGGAATGCAAAAAGGAAAATGTGAATTTTTATGATTTGGATCTATTTCTTGACAAACAACAGTTTATCCACTTGGCCAGTACTCATGTTGTAACAGATTAAGCTACAAATAAAGTGGGTGCAATTATTGTTACTCACAGTGGACAGCATGTGTCTCTAAATGAGAGAAGCTTGACACCTTGAAGTTAGCAGTGCATCACCACAGAGAGTTGCGGAGTGGTAACCCTGCTTGGGGAAAGCAAAGCTGCACCGTGTTTTTCTGCAACAGTCTGAAATCTGCTTGCGCCACTTGCCAAAAAATGTGCAGTGTCTTATCAGAGGTGTCGAGCCAAGTTGTTGCATTTGAACAGTTAAAATCTGACTTTTTAAGAAGGTGGATTTTGAGTCACAGATCGGTTCAATTTTTCAGATCAGGAAAGAAATGGCCACTGTTTTGATAAAATCTTACAATAAAATATTCAACACGAAATTGTTAAATTAACTAGAGCAAATAGTGCTTGTGAGCATAAATGGAATGAAATTATGACAGTTTTTATAGCTTTTTAGCTTTTGTGAAGACATCATGTCGAGACACAGCCCATCTTCACCAGCAAGAGAGACAGAGAGAAAGAGAGCTGTTCATTTCATTAGAAGGAGAGAGGGAGCGAAGAGAAATAGGAGAGAGGCAGGCATATTACCCACTCAAAACCCTACACCCCCTCAAGGACTCGGCTAGTTGAAACAAATTTTGCAGAATATGACAGAGAGATTCACCTCGACTTTCATGGAGAAATCCAGACTAAGCCATTTGCTTAAAAAAGGTGAAAAGCACATTAAAATTCAAATAAGGAAAGGAGGAAAAACACTATGAGAGGAGGAGGAAAAACAGAGAGGGAGGATTAAAAAGAGGCTAGCCTTTCCCTCATTCAGTTTAGCAGGAGAGCAGCCGCAGGGGAAAAGCCCCAGCAGTTATCTCTCCAACCAGTCGAGATGCTCATAAAGAAGTCAGAGGGGAAGAGAGAGTATTCAGTCTGCCATGACAATTCCTGTCAGCTGTCCTTACAGGTCACTGTTTGTAGAACTACAAGTCTCCGGCTCAACGTTCACCAGCATCCAGCAGGTGCTAAAATTACCCACAAGTCAACAGTTAAATAAAAAGTTCTCAAAGATGAAAGCATGTAGAAAAAGAACATCTTCGCAGTCTGACATGTGGTGTGTTGCAGATGAAATAAGGTGCTGTTCATATTCCAGTCCTGTTTGGTTTGGCTCAGCCCTGTAGTCAGTAGGGCTGTGTCAGTAGTAAATCTTGATGTCTACCTGTCATAGTCATAATTTCAAAATAACAGTAAATCACCTTCATGTTGCCTTCTAGAAAATGTGTATGTGGACATGCATCATGGAATATGGAAGACTGCATGTTGGAAAAAATTCTGCTTGACCCTTCCTGGTTCAGACAAACACTGTAACGTTTCAGACACAAAGGTGACTCAAGGCGCCTTTGACTTACACTACTTCTAGATATTCCTCTATAGCTGGATGATGCTCCATACATGAATAAACCCTGACTCTAGCCCTAGGAAAGTAGTGTTTAGCAGTGAGAGGGAAATAAAATCAAGTGAAAACTAAAATGAGACAAAATATAATCAACAAAGCACTAACAGACAAAAAATACAGTGTTTGTGGGGTTTCGTGAAGCTGATATCCACAGAATTAATGGTGCAGGCAGTAGTTTTCATGTGGTCCACAGAAACCAAAGACTACTTCACTGTGCTGTATTTTAACCCTCTTAACCTGCAAGTAGACCAATCCCAGAAGGTGTGAGAAGTCGAGCAGGTTATTTAGGCAGAAGCAAATCTATTTCATTCAAAGTACACAGAAGTCAGTGTTTCTGACTCACAGGTATCCTGTACATCATGTGAGAACTGCACTGTACTGAACAGCAGCCTCCTGCATAAGCTGTGGCAACATGATTAATGGTGCCCAGTTGGAATTTTTGAACAGTGAAGTTGGAGTAGATATGAATATGGATCTCAAAATGTAACACATAAACAATAATAATGAGAGAGGCACGAGCACATTGATGATAAAAGTGCAAGTGATAAATAATAACACAGGTCTTGCCTTAAAGATTCTAAATGTAGTGTACAATCAATCAAATGTGTGAGAATACATTTGTTAATCCATAAATAATCCCATCCTGCATTTTGTTTGTGTGAAATAACTTCAGCATTACAGCTCAGCCAATACTGATCAATACCCTGATCACAATCATTTGTTTGCTAAAGGTGTGACTCAGGAAGCTGGTTTATTTCCTTGGGATAGAGACACTCCTGATTTGTTCTAGCACTGTTTCAAACGTTTGTGTGATACCTGCCTGACATGTGGACGACACTGTAGCTAAATTCGTCAGCAGCATCGAACCACACTGAGAAGCAGAGGCTGGCTCACAGGTAACACCCCCCCCATTTATAGCGTTTGAGCAGGACAAAGCTCCTCTGAACATGTCAGTCTGTGGTTTGGCCTGCGCTGTTAAACACTGTGTTTGGGCCTGATCTTCATCAATATTTTACCAGGCTGTTATAATTGTGCCAGGCAGCTGCACGGAACTACTGCAGACTGCACAGCCACCTGAACCTCTGACAGCACGCCGCTTATCTCTGTAACATCCTGTTTAGAAGGGTGCAAATGGCTACAGTCTCAAAGTGTAACTGCACTCAGTCATGTGCCCTAATTGATTAGCGCTGGTCACATTATTAGGTCAGCATTATTCATATTTATGAGCATAAGTATATTTTTCCTTCTGCGTTTAAATGCTTGCAATATATCTAACTGTGATCCTCCTGTGAAATCTGCTCCACATGTGCAGTGTTGGAATGCTTCAAATTGTAATTGCACAATATTTCTTCATAACAGAACGTGCAATAATTTTCACATTAAAAGCAAAAACATATTAGCGGCTCAATTGGACGTGCACTGCAGCAACTGTAAACTATATTGCTGCAATAACATTTTATGTTTCAAAATTACCCTCAGTATTTCTCAATTTCCACATGAAATATGTCCAACTAGCACCTTATTAACAGGAGAAGAGGACAGAGGCTTTTATTAATGGAGCCGGAGTTTAATTTGAGGAGAACACGTTCATAATCACCGGGGGACTGAAATATGGGAAGTGGAATTTTCTCTTTGTAACTCAGACTGAGCTTTTTCTCCAGTAGATTATTACACCTTTCATTACCTGGTGAAAAGGGAAAAAAGTGTGAGAGACACGGGGGAGGAAGTGAGAGAGCAGAGAGAGAAAGAGCGAGGGGAAAAGTGATCAGGGAGTTTGAATGTCAGCAACACGAATGACGGCGACGCTTTGTAATTGGCTCCCAGCAGGTCAAGCTACTCCTTCATTCTTAGCTTTTTCACTTCCATTTGTTCTCCATGTGAAATGGAACACACATATATTCACATACTTACTCTACATGTGCACCAAACTAAGTTTTTTAACCCCTAAATTAGAAGAGGTGTTCTTGCTCTATGAGTGTTTTTTCTTCTTCTTCTTTGTATACACCTGCAGGCAGCACAGCAGAGGTTGTAAATGGACATGAAGGAGCACAGAGCTTCCTTCACTTTGAGCAACTCAAACTGGATTCAGTGCGGATGAACAGTTCCATTAGTTTTAAAATAGGAAAGCACTCATTAGCCTTTTCTGTCACGTAGTAAACACACCATCTTGTGTTATTTGGTCCCTTTATTTCGACTGAGCTGCCTCGCCACATAGATCAGCCACACTTAGGAAGGTGTGTTTCCCTCTTTGTTAGTTGCTGTGAATTTGTTTGTCGCAGTTGACACACTTTTGAGTTAGAGCAAAAGACTGAATTCTTCAGAGTTCCATAAGAACACCAAAATAATTGCACCGCTATACATTATTATTATTTTTTAAATAAAGGAAAAGAGTAAAACACAAGTTGTAAGAAGTCAAAATATGTGTCACTGATTCAGAAGTTCTTAGCTGTCTAGGAAACCCCATTTGGCCATGAGTAAAACAGAAATATCAACTGCATCATTTAGGAAAAAGTGTCATGTTCATACAAATACACATATTAATACTTCTTACCAAAAAATATGAATGATTAATGTTTATGATATTTTCAATCATAGTGAGTGATTTTGTTAGAGGACAGTTGTGACAACGGTCTTCTTCCTCCACATTAACAATAGCCAACAGTGTTTTGGGCAGGCCACTGTGTGCACATGAGTGTGTCTCTAAATCACCAGGGGGAGGAAACACAACATAGAGAATTTCTGAAAGCACCATCTTATGACACAAATGCATACTCCGTTTACTCACAGCGCCCCATAAAGCTTTGATCTCACAAATCAGCAAACAGCCTCGTCTCCTCTACCTGGGTGCCCATTCAGCTGTGTGGTATCATTTGGCCCTCTCTGCTCAGCTCAGGTTCTAATTTTCTTAGAGTAAAGTGTTTTAAAATGTTTTTAAAGAGCAAGAGAAATGTCAGCAGATTAAATTTGCAAGTTTCTGCTCTAAACTCTGAGGCGTAGCTTGAGTCAACTATAGAATGTGTTCTCATCCCAGGGTGTCAAAAACTGATGCTTTGTCAAGTACATGCATCTCATATAGATGCCACAGACATCCTTTAGTGTCTGTATGTGATGCAAAAGGACCTTGACAAAGCATCATTTGACGCCCTGGGAATGACAATAGGCTGCTCTATAGCTAAGTGTTAGCTAGTTAAATAGGCAGGGTAATTTACCCTGGTAGGCTAGTGGTTAAGGCGCA